CTAATTTATTAATGTAACATTAATATATATGAATTTTATGGAAGGGAGAACTAATTCAAAGTACATTATACACAAATATGGAATTGTCACAATGAAACCCCTTGCTTATTAGTGTATGTTAACTCAAAAAGTAAACTTAAAAAAGGAAATCAGAAAAAAAACACCTAATATGAATTTTATAAAAATTTTACATTTTCAAGAGATATTCACATGCACTTCTCATCCCCACATCACTGAGACAAAAACATCTCTTACAGGACACTTCACAGCACCACTTCATTTTTTGGACAGCAAAGCTAAGGCTTTCTTGTAACTGTCCCTAAGCTCTACAGAGACAAAAAGACTGCCTCCAGGCTGGAGTTGTAGCTCTGTGATAGAGCACTTGCCTAGCAGATGCAAGGCCCTGGATTCCATTCCCAGTACAAAAAAAAAAAAAAAATTAAATATTAAACAACAAAATACCCAACTCAATGTTAACTTGTTTAAGTAGCCATGTGGAAATGCAAAGGACAATAGATTTTTGTTTTCTTTTGTTTTGTTGAAACTGGCAGTTAAACTCCGAGCCTCACACTTGCTAGGCAGGCGCTCTACCATTTGAGTCACATCCCAGCCCTTTTTGCTTTGATTATTTTTGTGAGAGGGTCTCACATTTTTACCTGAGCTAGACCAAGATCCTCCTATTTATGCTTCCCCCATAGCTGATGACAGGCACATACCACCATGCCCAGCCATTGTTGAGACGGAATCTGAATAACTTTTTTGCCTGGGATGGCCTCAAAAAGCAATCTTCCCAATCTCTGCCTCCCCCATGGTTTGGATTACAAACATGAACCACAGTGCTCAGCCCCTATAAGAGGGGTTGCTTTTAAGTTTAGTAATATTTGAAAGAATGATTTTCATACATATCTGCACAACAAATATTTACTGTGCATCTACCATTTTTTACCAAATACTATCCAAAGCACTGAGAATATGGCACTGAAAAAAATAAAATAAAATAAAAAGACAAGATTATCTCTGTTCTCATGGAGCTTATAACTAGATAATACTTTCAGAGCATCAAGGCATTTTCCAAGTGCTTCACTTATATTAACTCACGTAAGATTAAATTAGTATTTCCATACAGAGATGAGAAACTGAGGGACCAGGAAAGACAAGTAATTTACCTAAAGCCAAAAAATAAATAGGACAGGCTAGCCAGGATTTTGAGTCTGAGTTTGTACTTCTGACCATTGGTAAGCTTTAATAATAAAAACAATTTTTAGTCAAATAAGATGAACTCACTCACAAGTGCAAGCTTTTGTACCAACAGGAGGAGGAAGGGAAGCATATGGAATGGTGTCCACGGATGGTAAGTGAAGAAGGTAAGCAGATTGCACATTCGTTCCATGTGGCTAACTTCTACTGCACAATTCTGAAATCTTTCCTCCACTGCCAAATTCTGACATGAGACTCCCTAGTTTCATTTTAGTACTATTTAATTTTTAAAAAGGCAAGACCAACTTCCTTATATATACCACAGAACAGTTATTACTAACAATCTCAAGAAGAAAATTTCAGTAACTATGTCCAATTCCAATTTAGCTATATGAAGTCTTGTAATAGGAATTTAAAATTAAGGAATTAACAAACTTATCTGGAGATCAAAATTGTTGTTTATCTATTTCCCCCCTATGAGTTACAAATTCTGATCTAAACCTTTGCTAAGATAGACATTTCTGGAATGCCGAAAGGGATGTTCAAAACTCAGCCTCCACCTGCCTACAGCCATTCCCACAACTTAATGTCTGCCTAACTTCCTACCTCATTTCAGAACTGCTGGCCCATCGGCCGAACCTGCTCCCCTCTCAGGTTTTCCTTTCTCACAAATGGGCAGTTAAGCTACTCCACTGACACAAAGTCTTTGGGCTATTCCTGACTTTCTCACACTCCATATGCAATCTATCAGCAAATTCTGTAAGTTCTAACTTGAAAATCTATGCGGGACACAAGCTTTTACTTTTTCTTCTTTTTGGGGGGGAGGGAGGAGGAGGAATGTAGGAGGGCCCTACAGGTCCTTGGGCTTGTTAAGCAATTGCATTATCACTTAAGCCACATGTTCAGCCCATTTTGCTTTAGGCTATTTTTTTCAGATAGAGTCTCCTGCTTTTCCCTTGAACCACAATCCTACCTATGCCTCCCACATAGCTGGAATTATAGCTATGAACCACCATGCCCAATTTATTCATTAAGATAGGGTCTGATTTTTTGCCCAGACTGGCCTCAAACTGCAATCCTCCAGATCTCCACCTCCCAAGTAGCTAGAATTACAGACATGAGCACCTGATCTCAAGCATTTCTTAATTTCCCTAGTTCAAGTCCCTTTACTACTTCCAAACTGGTTTCCCTGCTCCCATACTAACCCCAGTCTCTCTGCACACCATCCAGAAGGAATTCATCAAAAGCCCAGTGAGTTCATGTCACCCCTAGGCTCACCTTTAGCTCAGGATAAAATCCAAAGTCCTACTGGACCCACAGGATCCACAGCTAAGGTCCCTTGTTTCCCCTCTCACCTCACATTGTACCACCCTTTCTAAACAGACTCATGCTGAAATCACAGCACTTACTTTTTCATTTCTGTCTAGAATGTTTTTCCCCAGCCAGTTTTCATGTTTTCCTCCCCATCACTCTGTGCTTGCTTCTTCATCTCATCATCTTGAAAGACATTCTTTCCCTAATAACCCCTAAAAATGAACACCTCCCCCACCACAAGTTCCTGTTCCTCTGTTTATCCCACTTGCTGTTTCCTGTAGCACTAACTGCATCTAACAGTACACATTCCTCTTCTTCTGTCCATCTCTGCACTGACGTGCCTGCTCCACAGTGGCAGGACGGTGCTTGGTCCACCACTTCATCTGCCTCCTGAACCATACCTGGCAAAGCCATGCTGAACATCATCATGGGCCTTTTAAGCCTGGCTTATGATAAAAGTTCAAATTCACAGCAGTTGATTCTGACTTTATCATGTGCAAGAATCATCTATATGTCTTGATAAAGGACAATGTTAGGAGGGGGGTGTAGCTCAATGGTAGAGCACATGCCTACCATACACAAGACCCTGAATTCAATCCCCAGCACTGTCATAAAGGAGGAAAAAAGGCAGGTTGCTGGGTGTCAGCCCCACAGTTTCTGCCTCAAACTGTCTAGAACAAGTCTTAAACATTTACAAGTTCTGAAGAGAGGTGGATACATTTTGAGAAGCACTGATTTAGACATTTTACACCAACACACAAGTCAGCAACAATAGCTCACTGTGGCAAGGAGTTACAACTGGTAAAGGAAGAAAAGAAATATGGTGCAAAGGTGCCCTCTGGCCATAACTTACAAGATGGTATGAAAGATATCTTTCAAATTATACAGTGTAAGTAATCTCTGGGAATTTTTTAAAGAGGAAATGGGACCAGACAGATCAAAGATACATTCTATTAAGTTTTTATGGGTCTCACATATTCTGTGTTAACAACTGTTACTCAAGTTTCATCCTCCAGGGATAAAACAGGGAGATGAGAAAGATGACATCCACTAGGGAACCCTGAATACCAAACAGTACAGAACCCAGTGCAGACAACTGCCCAAATCTCAATTTTCCACCTCTAGGAATAGTCCCAATACTGAAAGTGAACCTACTGTGGTCTAGCTTCCAGTTGATAACTTTACTTTCCTCCCTAGTCATGGCAATAGTTTCAGCACATTCTCTTTTAAGAATCTGAATTCTGAAGAGAGAAACTGAGAGATGCTAATGCCAAGTTTGTTAAAAGTGAGGTTCTCCAGACACAGTCTGAAATTCTCAAAGATGTCCTGGTTCCTGCTTTATATGAAGTTTTGCTCTCCAGCTATACCTTTAATGTTCTGCACTGGGTATACTGATCAGTGGAAGCGTCTATAAGGTAACACTTAAGCTCAAATCTCCAGTCAGGAGAGAACAGGAAACAACTAATAGAAAGGTCCTGAGTCTGGGAACAGATGTGACTTGTTCTAAAAGTCAAAGGAAGCCAATATGATTACAGTGCAGTGAAGAAGAGGGAAAATCACTTAAGATGAGGTCAGAGTAATTGAATGAACCTTATCATGTAGAGCTTTCTAACAAAAGGACAGAGATGTATTTAGAAATCAGCTGGCACAGGACAAGGAGAGTATCCACAACAAGATACTCAGAACAGCTGAACAGCGGAGGGGGTGCAGGGATGCGGGTGAAAAAAATCAGACTAGAAAGATTTTTCATGTAAGTTTTCGAACTAAAAGCCACCTATAGTCCAACACTCTAACTTTACAGAAAGGATGATGTGTCCCAAGCTGTGTCTTCTCTTAGGCTAGATTAAAGATGAGCAGAGTTGTACTTGGTGCTCTTTAACATTCAGGCCAAAACTCTTCATCATTGCTGGCCTCATTTTGAAATCCAAACAGTCTTTACCACAAGCATTTCCAAAAGTGACATAGCAGCAATCAAATGGAAACATTTAGAAAGAAAAAGTTTCATTTTTTATTTTATTATTTTTATTTTTTTTAAGCAGTACTGGAGGTTTGAACTCAGGGCCTTAAGCACTACACACTTGAGCCAGGCTCCTAGCCCTTTTGGCTTTTTAGTTACTTTTCAGACTTGGACTGGCCTTGGACCACTACCCTCCTACGTTATGTCTCCCACATAGCTGGCATTACAGGTATGTACCACCATGCTTGCCTTGTTCTCTGAAAGAGTCTCACTAACTTTTTTTTCCTGCCCAGACTGGCTTCACATCGTAATCCTCCTCTCTCCAACTCCCACATGGCTCACATTATAGATGTGAGCCAACACACCAGCCTAGAAAGAAAAATTTTAAATTATCCATACCCAATTACTTACACTTCCAGTTACTCATGTAGATTTTTTAAGCAGCTGATAATGCTTAAATATTTACCACCAAACTCATTTCTTCCCCAGTGTGTGAACAGAGAAAGTGAAGGAGACAACAAAACGTACTTACATCTGGGTATTCTTTTACAGGCACATAGAGTTTCTCTTGTAACTGAACAATGGGTCCCACAGCGTCAGGCAATTCTGCACTCCTTTTCTCTGTACTGCCATTTAATGTGTCATTGTACATGTCTTTCCGTACTCTGCTAATCTCTGTTAAAAGTAAAAATTTTAAATGTGTTAGACAAAAAAAGTATTCTTGCTAATCCAGGAATTAAAAAAAAAAATACAGGGCAGGGGACGATTTCATTGATAAATAAAGTGTTACAACTCCAGTGAACAAGTGCTGACCGCATCTGTCCGTCTGTGGATAAGCCCACGATCAGTAAGCTGACAGCCTTAATTTCTACCGTAAGTCAAATATAAACTAACCAAAACACATCTTATTAAAACTAACTTCAGAGGGCAAGCTCTCAGCCAATCTGATAAACGTGTTTTACCTAAATTGTCTGTGCATGAAAGAGAACACTCATTCCAAATGATAGCTTTAGTCAAATAACTATCGTAAGAATGCCTACACTAAAACTAATACCAAAGACTCTTTTATACTTTTAACTCGCCTGTCTGAATGAGGTTTAAACTGGACCACTTTATTAGAGATTTAGATATCTTTAAAATATTCAAACAAAGACATTCAATTGACAACAGAGTGCAAGGTTAGCAGAAGTCTGAGTTTGATACACAAACTTAGTAGTTAAAACTATGAGAAGAGATGTCTTACAGAAGAAAGAACGAATGAACTCTAGGAAAGGCAGCATTCAGGCAGAAAGGAAAAATCTAAACAGAGAATAAATGTAGAATACAGGAGAACAAGGAAGAGAGGTGTCATACAAGCTAAGGTGATCAACAGTATCAAACACTACAGAAATATGGTAAGGTAAAGAGCAAACAATGGTACCTGGGATTGTAGGATTGGACAACTATGGCATTAGTGATCAAAGAAAATTCAAGGGAAAGGTAGTAATGGAAATAAAACTACTCCGGGTTAATGAGTGAAGCCACAAAAGCAGAGATATCAAAATCAGTGGCCTCAAAAAAAAAAACCTTTATTATCATTCCAATGCATAAATACTCACCCTTAAAAAAAAAAAAAGTAGATGAATTCTATTTTAATGAATCAAGTCCCCTAAAGAAAACTGGTTAAGTCTTTGAAGAAGTATTTCTTAAGCTTCTGCTGTGAGCTAGACTATAGGTTCCTGCTCAGTAGAACATACTGTCTAGTAAGGACTGCTATATATCAACACAGCTAACTGACCCTCATTCTGTATAGTAATGCACTCCCTGGGAAAAAGGCTTTCATCCACATGAATGTATTTCACATGTAATCCAAATAGGAACTATCAGCCTGCTGATATTAAGGACCTATCAAGTATGAATGTACTCATTAATTTTCTTAACTACTTATTTAAATCAGTTTTGGTTAAAATTCAACACAGGAAAAAAAAGCATGATCAAAAGTGGGTGATCTTAGCTATAAATTCTTAGTCACATTTTCTACTTCAGTGGTAGCAATGTTCATTTTATTACAAATTTATCTTTAAAATAAAACGTGTCAAAGCTTACCAAATGCTCATCTGTGAATAGCAAATGGATTAACAAAAATCAAAGGAGAGTACCTTGGATTTGACTATATTTATAAGGACCAGAACTCATTCTCAAAGTTATTCTTACACTTCTAGTTTCATTACAAAATCCGTCCTATTGATGTCCAGTAGTAAATTCGTGTTTCACTTAACCAAAGGGCACTAGAAAATATTAATTTAATTAAAACTACACATATGTATCTTTTAGTCCATTTCTCTTTATAAAAGCATTTGGGGCACTTAATTTATTACAATTTAAATTTCTTCATGAACTGCTCAATTCTTGTTATGAAGTTAGTATAGCACCAATATAAAATTCTGACAACAGTTTAAAAGGAAACTATATATAACATTTTCTCATAAATATAGATGGAAAACATCTTAAGTAGAATCTACCAGCATATTAAAAGAAAAATTCAACAAAACAAAGTGGAATTACTATGAATATATGAATAGCTTAATATTCTACAATCTATTGTAAGTAGTTACACTAATGTAATAAAAATCAAAAGAAAAAAATGTTTTTCCAGGCAAGCAAATTTATCAAACTTAGGAAAATAAAAAGAACCAACTGTAACTGATTCTAAAAAAATTCTACATTTAATGACTACATTAAAGCATACATAGAAAGATATAAAACCAATAACCTTCAATATAAACACCCAGTTAGATGACATAGTGCATTTACCACTTAAGTTGTATTTTGATAAACATTTGGGTGATCTTTGATTAGTAACTGAAAGTTTCATGGACTTCTGCTACCCAGTTTCCCCAACTTCATGAATACTGAGTATGACTTCAGTAAGTAGTCAGTGGGTTGGCCACATAGGTGGTAAATGAAGGGAGAAATGTTCTAAAACATTAAACCTAACAAGTCAAGGTTTTACTTCTCCGAACAGTTTAATCTGGGAGATAAGTGTTTCTACCACGATTTTTCAATCTTGAAGATGCATCATGCAACTTATTAACAGAACACAAATGATTTACAAGACAGTGCTGATAAGAACAAAAAGATGACTTAAGACACAGTTTCAATCCTTAAAGAATTTACAATCTAGTTCAGTGTTGAGTCTAAACAACTGAGTACTACTTTTATCAACACCTTTCTGGCCAGGAAATCATCAGCAATTTCTGATGTGCTATTTATAATCCTAACTCAAGTCAGAACAAGTTCTGATTCCAGTTTTAACTCTTTGTGATTTTGGGTCTTTTGTTTAACCTCTCTTACCTGTGTCTCATATAATTAGAAGTTGCTTACTAAATGACTCAAGTGAACCCACTGCTTTCCAATCTTAGTATGTAAGGAACCCTATTTATTATTTCCTCTCATGCTCAATTTTTCATTCTCTACGAAATAGCAGTAAGAGCTTCCATTAGTATTAACTATCAAGTTGATATTATATCCAGACATGACAGAAACATTTATGGGTTTAGGAAGTGTTCTAACCCTCTCATACAGTGGTGAGTTCACAGGAGCTCATTTACGAAATATATGAATGCTTCCTAACTACTATACTGTGCATATTCTTCTGTTATAACAAACCTTACATAATCATGCTCAAATGTCCCCACCTTCATGACTTTCATCAACCTGCAGCAATTCAGACAATTGAAAGTTCAGAACATTAGTATAAAAACTCTCACTATAATAATCCCCAAATGGGGAATGCATCATCCATCTAAATATCCCAAATACTACAACAATTCTGAAAACATCTCTGAAGTTCTTGAATGTTACAAATTTGTTTTTTGAACCAAATTCACATTCCTAAAATTTCATGTACTGGCCTCCATCAGAAGCCTCACTGATACTTGCAAAGTTCTGTATGTGTGTCCTCTTTTCTGAACTATACAACATGCTTTTATACTCTCCCACTTGTTTAGGCACACTAATTTGTCTAAATCCCTTTTAAAATGTAAAACCCCACAAGACATAGATGAATACGTAGAGTAAGGCTGTCCATTTGTGGTCCTGATGTCTCTGCTCTATGTGTGGTAGAAAAAATATATCTTTACTTCTTTAGCAAGCCTAACATGTTGCTTATTTTGCTGCTAGTCCTAAGACAAGTCTCTGCCTCGCATATATCTCCGTTACTTTAGGCAGATGCAGACAATTTAAAATTTTTGTTGTTTTCAAGCATATATATCCCCCCTTCAGATTGATCGTTATCTGCTGACATCTTTACAGTTGACTGGTTTCTGAGTCAAGAATCTAATTAACTACAATTACGTAAAGCATACATTTCACTAACCTAGCTATCAAAATATAGGCATACCTTGTTACCTACCTGATGAAATCTCACCTACACTGGATCCACCTCTCTATTTTTTTTTGAGACAAGGTCTCACTAAGTAGCCCAGGTTAGCCTGGAACTCTCTGTGTAGCACAAACTGGCTTCAAATTTGTAATCCTCCTGTCTCAGCCTCCCAAATGCTGGGATTACAAGTGTACACCACAACACCCAGCTCTACCTTCCTTTGGATCTACCAGGTTAGATAGGAAATATACAAGTTTTGCCATAAAGTTCAGAAAGTAATTGTTTTGGGATTTGTAGCACTTAGGCTCCTCCCATTTTCGAGGTTTCCTTAAATAGATATTGAGTAATCATATTTTTTCCAAATATCATATGCAGAAAACTACTTTTATGACTAAAAACTTGTTCCAATTATATTCCTTGCTGTCTCCTCACATTTCTGTGATTTTTTTTCTTTTCCAAACTAACACTCAATTGTCAATTCTGCTAAGGAAAATAGTCACTTCACAGTTCTGTTTTCTGTGATTTGTTGATATTACATCACCTACCTTCAGCTATGTCTCTTCTTAATTCACCAAATTATGGATTTAACTAACAAATTTAAGATCATTCTTATGTTTCATAAGCCTCAGATCACTGGATTATTGGAAGTGCAGCTCACCCCTCTGCTCCCTTACAATTTTGCACACTTCCTTTTAAGACCTAAATTTCTGTATTAACTACCAGATAAGTTATTATATGTTAAACTAGAACACTAGAATCAAGGACAACATAAAGAAATATCAGAGAAAAGAAAAACACAGGTGGAGAATTCTAAATTACAAAATTCACCAGTTTTTTCCCAAAACAAATAAATAGAAAGATAACTAAGGCTGTGTGAATCAATTCAATACTGTAATGTTGGAAGAACAGGTAAAGAGTAAAACACACAGATGTATTTTACTTTTCGATATAAACTTCCTTCAACAAATTGAAACCAAGAAAAAGAAATATGACAAATATTTACAGCTGAGAGCTAATGGCTCACACCTATAATCCTAACTATATGGGAAGCTAAGATCAGAGGATATGGTTTGAGGCCAGTCAGGGCAAAAAGGCTGAGATCCCCATTTCAACCAATAGTCTGTAATCACAGCTATGCAGGAGGCTAAGACCTGGAGGATGGCCATTGTAGGACAGCCAGGACAAAAAAGTTCATGAAACTTCATCTCAACCAAAAAAAGCTGGTGTGGTACAACATGCCTGTCATCCCAGCTATGGTGCGAAGCATAAGATATGAGGAATGAGGTCTAGCGGGCCTGGACAAAAAAGGAGA